GTCGTGTATTATGAGTTGCTCAAACCGAACGAAACCATTACTGGGACCCTCTACCGAACACAATTGATGAGACTGAGCCGAGCACTCAAGGAAAAACACGCCCACTACTACTCCAGACACGACAAAATTATTCTCCTGCATGCTCGTCCACATGTTGCGGCGCCGGTCAAAACCTACTTGGAAACACTCAATTGGGCAGTTTTACTCCACCCGCCGTATTCACCAGACATTGCTCCCTCTGACTATCACTTGTTTCGATCGATGACGCACGGCCTGTCTGAGCAGCACTTCACATCATATAAAGATACCAAAAATTGGGTCGATTCGTGGATAGCCTCAAAAGATGAAGCGTTTTTCCAACGTGGTATCCGTATGCTGCCAGAAAGATGGGAAAAAGTAGTGGCTAGCGATAGACAATACTTTGAATAAAACATAAGGTATCGTTCTTTCACAATAAATGCCCAATTTTTGATAAAAAACGGCGGAGACTTATTTGTACTCCCAATATAAAGTGTTACATTCAATCCTCCCGTGCGCGATTGCGTGTGCAAGAGCGAACGTAACAATATAATTTGCTAATAATATCGCTGAAATGTACAGCAATCTACCTGCCGTGCAATGTTTTTTATAGGCAGGTTAAAAATATGATAACGAGAATGTACAACTATCTTGATTTATTTACAAGCGATAAAAGTATACATTTAGACATTTGAGGTAATGCAATGCACATACAATCACTTTCTCATTACTTATCACCAGCACCAATAATATTTTCAAATGTACTAAAAATATATTTTATTGTAAGCAATGCAAATTATGTGTCCATATTCGTGTTTGCGTTAAACAAGTTTGATACTTCTCTAATTATCCCTAATTAATAGCATAAAAACGAAAGACATGTGCAAAATAAATGTATTATATTCAAGAAATATTAATTACATGCCCTAAGGTAAGAAAAAAAAATATCGCACACAGACAACTCGTTGAGGATTCGAACGCTCGCTGCCGGTTAAAAAATTTTCGATGTGGGAGCCTCAGTCTGCTTAGCCACGCCGCCTTGCTGAAAGATAGTCGCAACTTTAGCAATATGTAGGACATAGTCCCGTGATCAAAACTTTATACTGTAATTTTTCACAAACAAAGGCCTATTAGCACAAACCCCGTTAGGATATTGATGCTCAACATCTAGCGAAAGTGCTATCACTCGTTCAGAAATCGATTTAGCAGGTTGTGGCATTTTGTTAGATTCGAAATCAGCGACCCTAAATAACCCCAAGTACCGAGTTTCATCCAAATCAAGTCACTTTTTGCATTTTGGTCCACCATATTGAATCCACCATTTTAAATTTAGAAATTTTAAGGTAAAATTCGAAATCAGTGACCCCAAAAACCTCCGAATATCAAGTTTAATCCAAAGCAAGTCATTTTTTCATTTTTTCTACCATATTGTATCCGCCATCTTGAATTTAACAAACTAACCTCAGATTCAAAAGTAGCGACCCCAAAAACCCCCGAATACCAGGTTCCATCAAAATTAAGACACTTTTCGCATTTTGGTTCACCATATTGAATCCGCCACTTTGAATTTTTAAATTTCGAGTTCAGATTTGAAATCAGCGACTCCAAAAAATCCTGGGTACTGAGTTTGATAAAAATCTTGCGAACGGAAAAAAATTAAATGATATGCGCATTAGTGCGTCAATTTGGCTCATCTTTTATTTGACGCAAAAGTGTGTCAATGCCAGCGAAGTGGTTAATTAGATGCATATTTGCAAGTTATTGAATAATTACAACAATAATTAAAGTCATTGTCTCACCGACGTATAATAACGTAAAGATAACGTTGGCAAACCGTATGGTAATGCAATAACTACTGGTTTCTGGCTTCTTAGTATAACTATTTGTAAGTTTTTCCGAAGATTGTTTGATTTATTGTACCATTCCGTTTCAAAGGTTGCTTGTGCCACATCATTGCTCTACAAAACATACCATGGAATAACGACATTATGTTACAAACGTAATAATGTATTTCCTTACAAATAATAGACTTACCGCATGGATTAAATGTTCGGCAGGCCACGCATACATAAATACTTCCGATAATGTGCTGAAGGCTAAGAATATAGCTTGAATTTTCACTGGTAATGCTGCTTCCTGTTTAGATATATAAAGATGATATAAAATTATGTCATAATTCCGAAATTTTTCTTCTATATGAATGTATGACAAAACGCTAGGATCAATATGGAATTATACTTACTAAAATAAAAATAAGACTGAACACTACTATCGATACAGTAGTGAAAAGCACTGCACCTACTGCATAGGGACGAACTGTAAGAGCAATTTCCGATGCGTATCTAAAACATTGTATTTCATAATTCCATAGTATTTCATCTCAAATATACAGGGTGAGGTAAAAGTATGGAAACCTCTCAATATTTAAAACGATATGCATTTTCCAAAAACATATTCCATACAAAAGTTATAGCGTTTTTAGGGACACATTATATAGTAATCCCTTATAGAAATATCATACTAAGAATCATTGATAATTACTTATTTTCAGTATTAAAAATACTGGATAATAAGTAATTATCAATGATTCTTAGTATGATATTTCTATAAGGGTTATTAGTAAGATCTTGAACAACATTGTCAAGATCAGGTCAAGGTTATGTTGATTTTTTTTAATCGACTTCCTACTTTTTATTGTACATTCTTGTAGCTTATCTCAAGAGCTTTCTAAAACATTATAATAACATATTTTTTTATTAAGTACTTTTTGAATAATGAAAGTTACTAGATCACAGGCATTAGCGTTACCCAAGGTGTACCATGCGGAGGTTGCTTGCTCGGATTTACACCTCTTTCGTATGTTTATATGTATGTGCGTGCGTGCGTGCGTGCGTGCGTGCGTGCGTGCGTGTGTGTGTGTGTGTGTGTGTGTGTGTGTGTGTGTGTGTGTGTG